CCCCAAAACCCCAAAACCCCAAAACCCCAAAACCCCTAAAATCCCATACTTAATTGATCCTGCTAATCCAAATTCTTAACAACAACATATTGTTCTTCCTTCTCTCTCCTCTTCTTAAGAGTCCTCTTAAGTTCTCTTCTCAACTTACTTATGACAAAGGTCATGTCCTTATCATCCAGAGGGGATTCTACTGGCTCTGCAGCCGCAGCTGTATCGTCCAGCTGTCCCATACTTTCGTAGACAACAGTGCATGCTAAAGTTAAGAAAGAAGCTTACTCTCTTCCTGAGTGTTACTTATGTCAGCTATATTTATTACCAATTGAACCCCAAAGAAATGATTACCTTGAAAAGCATCCTTATTTTCTTCCTGATTCAATATTGTCTCTGAGATATTATTCCTATTATTCCCATCTTCTTTTATTTCATCTGCCAAAAAGTTGTCCCGATCAACTAATTGTAATGTATTTCCAAACTCTTGAAGCACTTGAAGAGTTGGCTCCACTAATGAGCCAGGAAGTGACTGTTTTGGATCACTGTAAACTCTTTTGTTAATATCTAACAATTTAATGATCAACATTCTGCTCTGGGATAGTACTTTGGACGACACCTTATTTTCAGTATCAGTTATAGAATATCCCTCATCTAATTTCGTTAGGTCAGAATTTTCTATAATATTAGAGTCATGAACTCACTGCTATACCACTGCTCAAGTGAAATCTTTGATATTGTTAGCTTCAAGTCTGTGTTTATTTGCTCAAATTTATTGGCTAAAACCTTTCTTCTTTCAGCAATAAATTCTTGAATATCTTGTTGGGCTTGTAAAGAGTCAAAAATTATAGCTCTATCCTTTACAAGGACTTCGCCAATAGTCAGAGAATCCTCTGAGTCTACCAGAGTCAGATGGATAGTATCCAAGGCTGTGAGGTAAAAATTAAGGTTCTTAAACTGTAAACTTATATCTTCGAAAGCCCAGTTTCCTCCTTCCTTAATGAGCAACAATTTCTTGTTCAAATTCTGAAGAGCAAATGCATCAGAGATAGCTGCATTTTCCTCCTCGAACATGCCCAGAATAATGGATCTCATAACATCTTCTAAGTACCCTTTGAATCTGAGTAACTCCGTGTTTGTGCAAGGATTCTGCATTCTTAGTCAGTTGACCCTTCCTCCGTTTATATCAATCAGAGAGTGCTCGAGGATAGTTAGGCAAGTCTGGAAATTTGCTTTTACTCTATATATTTACCGATGGAGTTATACTTCATGTAGTTTTCATAAAACTCAATGCTGCAATGATATTTTATTCTGGTTGGCACCCATCGAAGTAGAAGTATAGCAATACTTGCTTCAAATGCTGTCTTTACATCTCAGAGTATGACTAAAAGAACTATAATTATCAATAAAGCAGCATATTTATGATGATAATCATAATGAGATACTTTCAGATCAGTTTTCTGTTCAGGCTCACTTTCTTGGATTTCTCTTTGATATTCTTGAGGCTCATTAGTAGGTTCTTTTCAGTGCTCCTCATTCTTATTTTCTAAAATATCCTCTTCCTCATAACTAACATCACTAAACTGCTCTTCCACTAATTCCTCCTCTAGAGGTGAACTATCAGCGAAATAATCAGCTATACAGTCTGGGTCATCATTTTCTAAAACTTCACATTAAACCCAATTACGATGCTCAAGCTCTTTGACAGCAGAAAGATATGCCTTTGACCTCCTATTAACCACTCTAGTAGGCTCCATTTCCATTTAAAAAAAGATTTACCAGAATTTTGGGGTTTTGGGGTTTTGGGGTTTTGGGGTTTTGGGG